GTGTTAACGCAGACAGCAGTGCAGCCTCTCCACACTTCAACGAGGCATGTGCCACCTGCCTGCAGGCAGGCAGCTTTTCAGGACTTGCTTTCTATCCAAAAGTCAGCTGTGTCACAGTGAGCGTGTTGTTTTGGCGTAAGTGGAAACTTAGAGAATTTATTGTAAGAATTACTTTAGGATGATGATTCCTGACTCTTGAACATGTTTGACATTTTGACCTGCTGGAACTGCAATGAGTGAGGCACATATAAAATATACAATATAATTACTGTATGTAGATAATATGGAAAAAATTAAAACTGACAGTTTTATCAGGAGCCTGTCGTAGAGTGTACACAGCAGCACCAGAGCAATTCAGAAGTAGCACTGGACACCTCTTACGTGCTGCATAGCAATTCTCATAGCTACCTTGCAAGTTGTAGTCGGTAGTTCTCACTTTATGGACAGGAAATAAAAACACTCAGAGAAGCAAAATGAATTGTTCAGTATTTTACAGCTATTATTGAGTAAGTTTAGTAGGCAAGCCCAGCCCAAAATGACTCCAACATGAGCCTTCTCTCTACTAAAACATTTGTGTTCTCATGTTGAAAATTGTATCTGGTTTGTTTAGGAGTCAAGAATGTGAAAATAGCATTTGATACATACTGGAATAAATGTAAGGATTTAGGGTTAAACTTCTTGATTAATAGTCTATTGCAAGATATTCTACCAGAGTCAGGTTTTAAACATGATTAGTTTGGAGGAAAAAAATTTTACTTTTTCCAGTTATAATAAACTGAAGTATATTATTCATGAAGCTGGGTATCATAGTAGCCAAGAATAATGGAATTATTTATTAAAATCTATGACACATAAAGTGTTTCTGCAGTTATGTGCCCATTTCATAGATGGGAAAATGAAAATTAAAGAAAGCAAGCAGTTGATCCAAGTCCTCATTTTGAGTAAATTTGTTATAAAGAAGAAAAGCAAAATCAGCTGGTACCCAAGATGGGAGATAAAACTAAGAAAGGATACTGTTGTGGGTTTTTTTAAAAGAGGTGATTAGACCGTCTTTAAAATGGAAAGTATATTCTAAAAGACGAAAAGTGAGCAGCCGAGTATACTGACACATGCCTGTAATCCCAGCACGTAGGAGGCTGAGGCAGGAGAATTGTTGGGAGTATGAGGCCATCCTGGATTACACAGCGAGTTCAAGGCCAGCCTGAACTATGTAGCAAGTCCTTATTTCAAAAAAAAAGAACCAAAAGAAAAATGCATTCCAGAGCATACAGGGAATACTTAATAAATGTTTCTTGCTTGACGCAAGTGAAAGGGTTAGTAATAATTGGGACCATCTATACAAGGAAGGAGATGTGATGGGAACCAAGAAGAGCAACTAGCTTTAGCAGGGAGGAATGACATTTTTCAGAGCATCAGAACAAAAGAAATAAGAGAGAGAATAAGATACAGTAGAAAAGAAATTTAATCTAGAATGAAAGGCAAACCAAGATGGAACAATCTCATGTGTTTAGTAAAACGAAAGGTAAGCTTAATTTGTAGCAAATGAAGAAGGTAAGAGACGAAATTTAGAAATTTGCAGAGGTTAAAAATGGCCATAGCGAAGAAGGGAGCAGTTCACCCACAGAGTCAATTAATTTTCTTTCGTTTTCGCCATAGTCTCTCATGCTCTCTCTTGACTTATTAGCAAAATGCCCCTTATCTCCATGAAACCTTTATCTCCTGTTAAAATGCCCTAAGTGTAGTTCCTTGTTTGTCTCACGTGAGAATAACACCTTGCAAATGCTCCTGATGAACCTGAGCCATCCTGACCACCCCGGAGACCAGCTCTGCTCAGTTACAGGAATTCCTATCCCTATGCGGTCCTGACATATCTGGAGGAAGGAATTCTAAGTGTTTTTAAAAATACAGACCACCTAGACAATTCTCCCCAATCCATGGGTCACAGGATTGGTTAGTCTTGATGCCAACTAAAGTCTAAATTTGTTGTCTTTTCCAATATTTCATGTGTTTAAATCCTTTTTTAAAGTTCATTTCAAATTCTTCAGTTCTAGTTCTTGAAGATTTCCCCCCCAACACCTGTCCATATTAATCATCATCTTTAAGAACCCATTTTCCATCAACTTCTGAATGTCTACATTCTTGGTCTCAGGTTTCCAAAATCAAATTCTAAAGCATCACAAATTTAGCATCTAAAACATCCATAAATGTAAATGTAGTAGTCTCTACAGCCAATTCTCTTGTACATAAAACTCAAAATATTTGCAAAATCATCCTGAGAGGAAAGGTACAAATCAAGACAGCCTGACTTAACCCAGATCTTAGAAAAGTTTGTTGAAGTTTTTATTTGAATTTACCAAATCTTTCCATTTCTTTTCTTTGAGAAGCAAGAGAACATAGAAAGACCTTTGACATTGTGGGAAATTTATCTCTTTTTATTTTACTATAATTCAACATCCATCCACTTCCTTCCATTTAGAAAAATACTATTTTTAAGAATTTCTAATATTACTAATTGTGTTTTAGTATGCTTTACAAAGCCCAGATTGAGATTTTTAGAGTCAATCATATTAAGTCTACCTGTTTTATTGACCTAGAAAAATTAAGATGCTTTTCCTTAAAAGTATTTTGTACATATGCAAATATATTCCTTGTAGTATTTGAATGTGATTGTAGATTTTGCAAAGCAAAATTTTTCACTCATACCAACTTGTGTTATATAAGAAGGCTCTAACCTATGCTCATCCAGTCTTGATGAGAAGCAGAAGACTTAAACAGTATTCAGTGCCTCATTACGTTTATTGAGTACCTTTAACAATTTTTGAAAAATAACTTTTATCTCAAATCCAATTAGATGCTTTCTATCTCACATCCCTGCTGTCCTCTGCCATGGTGGTGACCAGAGGGTCGCCTACACCTGAAACCTCCTTCTCATCCAAACCCAGTGGAAAGGCAATTGCACCCTTTCTGGGTTGCTCAGGCAACTGTAATCAAGGGAAGGAGACTGGATTCCAGGCGAGCAGAACATCAGGGACCTACCCCAGATACCGCATCAGAAAGTGTCATCAGTCTAGATAGATGCTGAAATGTCCATAGGCTTCCTGGTAAGTTCCCTGCCAGTGTTTCCAATTTGAGGAATTCATCATTCCCCAACCAAGTTGACAGTGTCTCACCTCTGCATGTTAGTTTGCTTTCCTGTAGCAATGCATCCTGCTTTTCAAAGTATTTTTTTATGAAAACATAAATGGCTAATACATTTTTCTGCTATTTGGACAAATGATTTGTTAATATCCACTCATAGAGATTTATTCTCTTCTGATACACATTGCTTACAAATTCACCAAACCATGTTTTTAATAAATTACAATAATGAGTTGAATTTTTATTTGTTAGATTTACAGAATGTTTAATGTTCATTCTATCATAAAAGTCAATCAGATTAGTAAGCGCAGTTGTGGCCATCATATTTCAGTCAACAACTGTGTGTGTGATATATACATATATAATACATGTTATTGGTATAAATGATAACTAGCACATCATATGCAATGATAAAATAAATAACATTCATTATTAAAAATTCCATATAGCCAGTTCTTTAGTAGTCAGTCTATCAGGTGCAATTAATGAATGAATGTAGCTCCAACTTGCATGCTGATCGCTATTTTCTCTTCTGTTAACAAGCAGGCAAGTGTAAGATAATAAAGATACATGTCAGGACTTCACTCATTCGTCATGGGTGTGAGTGACTACTTTGCTGAGTTAGATAAGAACAATTAAACATAAGTAGTTTGACAAATACGAAAAAAATCCTCAATTTTGTATGCCACTCACAGATGGTACAGAAAATATACATTTAGTAGAGTTCTAAGCTGTATTATTAACATTTTCTCTACAACTTTTTCAACTCTAACAACACAATGAACCAAGCCTAGATCTACAGTGTTTCTAATTTCCAGGAGATAAATGCTTGCTGCATCCTAGTTCAACCTACCATAGTGAGGTCACTGAACACAGAGTTGGAAAGAGATGTTAGTAAAATGCATTTATATAGCCGATAATTACCTTACTGTGCTGTAGGAAAGCAAAATAAATTCTTCATCTCTAACAGTGTTTTTTGTCCCAGTCTAACTTCTTTCAGCCCCATTCCTCTGTCTTTCCCGATCTCTATTAACTACTATTCTAGTTCATTCTTATACAGGGTTGACCTCTATTTTTCACACTATGTAAGGACCTGTGGTACTTTCAATCATGATATCTAAAAAAACTGTACAATTATTAAAAATTATATTGACATAAAAATACTCATTAAAAAACTGGAAGAAAAATGGAAAAATGACTTTGCTTCTCTTTCATAAAAGCATATATTTATATTAAAAGTTCTAAAATTCATTCAAACCTAACACTTACTGCTAGAGATGGAATTTTGGGTGGTATATATTTATTCAATTTTGTTAATGCATCTGTAATTTTATAACATGTAATTTACTTATTAAGTTAATGACTCAGTGTTTTAAAGTCACCTCAAATAAAATAAAACTTATTAAAGAGTAAAGGAGATTGTCAAAGACAGATAAAAGTGTGTTGCCTATAAAAGATGATACAAATACTAAATTTCTTTAATCCAAAATAATGAGTCCAGTGAAAATAGTCTGTATATGTAAAATCATGAAGAATACGGTGTAAAATTGGCAAGGACGTGTTCACAAAATCTAGAATATTAAAACTAAGATTTATGAAAGATTAGAAAAAGTGAGAAAATTTCATTTTTTAATAATGAGAATTAAACTCTTCAGAATTTATCTAAATCATGAAATGGAGCATTTTAAATGTCATGCCCCACCATACTTGAAATATTAGATTTTCTAAAGCATTCATTCAACTTGAGATGCGTTTCTGGCATTGTTATATTTGAGATTTTCATTTCTACTGTCTTGGAAAGACCAGTTCTTGTATTTTGAAGATTCGTCTTAATTCATGATGCTATTTACTTTGCTTCTTAGGTGCCAGCAGAAGCCAGACATCTTACCCTACAACCTCCCTGCCACCAACTCCATCATCCCAGCGACCCAGCCAACCTCCACTGCCAGCTTCTCACCCGTCACAGCCTCCAGCTCCAAGCTTACCTCCCAGAAACATTAAGCCTGCCTTTGACCCAAAGTAAGCAAAAGTTGACCTTGTCTACTCTAGTAAATCTAACCAATTAGATTTTGATCATAGTCTTCCAATGTCTTGCCGTAGGTCTTCAGACTACCCATGGCTGAGTGCTCAGGGTTGCACATCATGTCTGGGGCACATTTGTGGGACTGGCAGAGAGAAGGACTGCCAGAGTAGGCAGCTCTCACCGTCTCATACATTTTAAGTCTGAACATATCTTGTTTATCTGTTTCGTGTTGGTTCCCCTTAACAGTCCATCTGAAGAAAATTTTCTCCCACCTTTTCAAAAATTCTGACTGTTTTCGGAGGTCACTACACCATCATCAACACCCCTACTGTCACTATTACTACCACTATAATCACTCTCGTCACTACCCTTATCCTCATCAACTGTCACCACAATGTTTTATGTCTGTGACATACTAGGTACTTTACATATGTAACCTCTGCATCCATATCGAATTATTAGTATTGTTGCCACTCACAGATGAGGAAACGGAACTTCAGAAGGCCAAGAAATTCTCTACAACAGATGATAGTGTAGAGAAGAAATTTGAACCCATGTCAAACTCAATCTTAAGTAAATACATGCTTTAAGCCACTATGCCAACTAGCTTCACTGAGTAAATAATACAAGTGTTTTCTTTTCCTTTAGCATTTTGAGCTGTATGTTAAAAATCTAGAAAATGTTAGCCTACTCTTGCCTAAATTTTCTTAGTGGCATTTTTTTAAAAGAAACATTAGCATTCTATGTGCTGCTCTGTGTAGGCTCTTGACCTGTGATTTACCAAAACAGCTGGCTCTTGAGGAAGCAGGTAAAGGTTGGAATAGAATGACATGTTGTTTTAAAAAGAAATATTCACACAACGGCAAGCATAGGCTGTTCAGCAGGGCATGCTAGATTTCCCCTTTCCTCTTCTAAAGGATTATTTCACATGATTTCCTTCACCACACATAAGTAACATCCTAACACAGTACAATTCCAAACTGATGCTGCTTACAATAAAAGTACTTACTATCCATAGTCCAGATAACGGAAACAGTGAATATTGGAATATTGGACTGACAGATTTCCTTCAATGTTTCATCATTACAATTTAGAGCAGGGTTTGAAAACACATTTGTCATAGATAACTACTGCCATTTTTCACTTTATAATGCTTCCTTGAGATACTACAGTCAGTAACTAAAGGTATTAGCGAGTTCATGGGTTATTACCTTTTATATGGCCTGCTTTGCATATTTGTATTAACTTTACATCTGTCTAGGCATTTGAGTTTATGAATGCTAATTTAGAAACATGTCCCTCATGAGATCCCATCACCACACAAAAGTGTAAGGCATCTGCTTATTAATAAGTAAAGGTAGTTGGGTAAAATTAGTTTAATTAAAATAACTAATATATTTTTATATAGAACTGATTTCTATTTCCTTTTCATGTGCATAAAACCATGTTACATTTTTCTAATTTTTTCTACTCTAGTAAATCTAACCAATTAGATTTTGATCTTAGTCTTCTAAATTTTGTTATATGATCCTTTCCCAGTTATTGGCTTTAATGGGACGACTGTGTTCCATGTAATTCTAGTGAGAAATTCTAGTAAATAACTAACATGAATTCTGAAAATTAATATGAAGTCTAGGAATTATTTAACTAAATAAACTGTGGAGAGGAAGATTATTTGGCACAATTCATATTGTCCCAAGAGTCCCCCAAACCATCTACATATTTCACAGTTCACTTGAAGGACATGCAAGACAGAATGCAATGGTGAGCTTCACTACAGGAAACAAAAAGACGGTGCAGGCAGCAGCTGGAGATGTCTAAGCATGAGCTTCTGACTTTCTGCAAACCTGAGATCCATATACTGTAAGTGCTGGTTTCCCCAAAGCCGGAAATCAGTATATATCTCGGGATGCTTCTATGGGAAGCCAATTAGAGATAGTGCTCAAGGTTCTGAGTGAATCACAGAATGCCTTCTGTCTAGCAACTACCAATGAACCAAAATTCTCAAAGGAATAGAGGTGCTTTCCATAAGTCACACCCATAAGTCGCTGTCTAGGCACAGCAAAGTACTTTTATCCACCAGACAGCTCCTCAGATCAGTGTACAAAAGTTTATAGAAGCCAAGTTCTTATATACCATGTTTCAACTTTGATAGCAGATTCTTCTGAAAAATAGCAGATCCAGGCCTATTATGTGGACAACTTTTCTGGGATCTTACCCCCTAGAACCTATCATAAATAAAAAAATAAACTGTAAAAAGAGGAAAAGATTTCAAAAGCAGTCTTGCAGCATGGGTTACTACTTCCCTAGAATTCTGGTCTATTTCCCAGTATTTCAAGGAATTCTTACAAAGATGGTCAAATTGCAATGAGCCCATGGAGGTTGATAGAACTGTGGGGGACCGGGTGGCAGCTGAAAAGATAAGAAATATGAAATATAAATGACCTTTTATTTTGAGAATGCGGGGAGAGACACCCCATTCCCCTGGGGCGCGGCATCTCCACCCCAGGGTCAGCAATCTCTCCGTGGAACACGTGGAGTGAGGCACATAAGTAGCTTCGGTTTGGGGTGGAACCTAAGGGGGCATTAGGGATGCACAGGTAGCCCATTGGTCTTTGTTTGGCACCATAGGTACATTCCTAAGGGTGGGGGAGATAAGAGCTCCTTGGTTCCGCCTCTAAGGCTTCACCAGCTACAGTGTCCTGTCTGGGCCAAAACCCTTTAGGAGGTGAGGCATGGTAGATGAGTACAGCTAGAATCCCAGCTATGGGAGGCCGAGGCAAGAGCATCACAAGTTTGAGATTGGCCTGGGCAATTTAGCAAGACCTTGCCTCACAATAAAAACTAAAGATGCTAGGGGATATAGCTCAGTGATAGACTGCTTGTCTTGCATGTACAAGATGTTGGATTCAATTCCTACCACCACCATAAAGAAGGAGAAAGAGGAGAAACAGGAGGAAGAGGAGGAGAAGTGCAACCAACCAGGCTCAAATTGTTACTTGTATTATTGTTTTCATCAGAGACTAGCAAAATAATAATATACTTTGCCTTATTCTTGTTTCTGACTGCTTCTTTTTTTTCTCCTCCTCCTCCTCCTCCTTTTGTTTGTATCTATCTTCTTAAGGACTCCTATTAGCATGTGATTCACATAAGAGTTGCCAATTTCCCAAAAAGCAACCCAAGAAAAATGGATATATCAAGAATTTTAGATGTTATGTTACCTAAATAGTCTACAGTTGGATTATTTGAAATTGTCAGATAGAAAAAAGAGGAGTGAAATCTATTTTCTTTTCAAAAAAGAAAGTCTTAAATAATGCCAAGCTCATATGAGCATGCTCAAGTAAATTCCACAATGAAGAAATAGCTAGGTTAACAAATGTCCCCCAGGAAGGAGAAGCTAGATAAAAACATAGAGGAAATGAAAGCAAACTGGATCTTGAAAGTAAGCTGCATCTTGATATTCAGGCTGAAAGCTCAGTATTTCTCAGGAAGGGGACATTTGTGGGCTCATGTTTAGGTAGAAATGTAGACTATGAGATGATTCTTTGTTCTTACAAAGAGTCTACAAAGATGTTTCCCACATGCTCCCTTTATTAGACAAATGTTCCTTCTTTCTCTAACGATCACTCTGCAGACAAAAGTCAATAGGTTTTTCACATTCACTTGACAGACAGTTTTGTGTTCCTCCCGTCTGTCTTTGTAATTGTAATTCAAGGAATGCCAGTGGACAAGACAATGATCCTTGCCTTTATGAAGCAAGAAACAAAACAATCAAAATAAGAAATAGGAAAAAAATCTCAACAGAAATGAGGCAGAGAAGATTGGATGATAGAAACAGCTATTTTGGAGAAAATAAGACATCATAATAGCTAGTGCTGATTTAGTATCATCTTGCTTTGAAGTCCCATCAAGCTTTTATTCTTCTGTCTCCATCGGTCTTAACAGGTTGTATCTTATTGGATTTTATTATATGTGATAATATAAGCAAAAACTTTTATAGACAAGGAGATTATACAGAAACCAGTGTTCATTTTCTGTTAGCTGGTTCTAAATACCCTGTAATAATGTCATTCTCTTGAATGGTTTTACAGTGTCTTGATATGTTTGGTGCTACAGTATACGAAGTTATATTCAAAGATTTCAAGGAAAGAGTCACTATGGTAACTACTTTTATGTCAGGATATCTTGTGGTGAAACACTATTTTGCTTAAATGGTTATGTTTTGACCTGCGCTGTTCTGTTGTTATGCCCTCTTTTATCTCAATCCCCCCCTTTTTTTTTCAATTATTTACTTCTTTATTTTTATCTTTTTAATTAAGGGAAAAATAAATAAAAATATAGCAGGATACATTATAGTAACCTACTTTGATTTCCTATTAACTTGATTTGAAACCTGGTATTGCCCTCACCATCTTGCTTTAACTGATTTTCCCCTATTCTCCTTTGCTAGATAGTACCAAGTTCGAAAGTATAGGCAACAACTGTGAAGACAGTAAGATTCATTATGACGCCCATTCTGGTTGACTCTTATCTTCTTTTAAAGTCCTGTAAAGTCTCCAATGTTTTGGTTGTATTCTCTACTGTTTTGTTCAATTTAATTATAACTGATGATATAGGCAATTCTTCTTAAGATAACAAGAGGCAGTATGGTAACCATTGTTGATCACCTTGTATTTTGTTTTTACATTATCTATTATGTCCATCCTTTTGATTTGACTGACTCTGTTCTGATATGTCGCATTTGGTTTTACTCTCTTCCAAAAAAGTAATAAGAACTGTGGGAGTAATAAAATCCAAAATGTGTAATTGTCATTGTACAAAAGAAAAGAAAAGAAGGTGCTCTAAAGGTTATAACTGCATATATGTTTAAGTGTATAAGATGGATAACCATATTACTGAGTTTTTTTGGATCATTGAACAAAACTGTTTGCACTCTCACTGTTTGAAAGTCCACTTTATATGCTTTAATTTTGTAACTTGAACAACTATTTCTAAG